AAACATTGTACTCTATGGTCACATAAAAAAGATCCCTGCCTTTGTGTAAGGCTGGGTTGTCTAGAGTTTCTTTTTAATGTATTTTTTTTCCCATATACATACCCTCCTGTATGTATAAGAAAGACCTTTATATTAAGAGGAAGTTTTATATCAAGAAGGTACTATATATATTCAAGTGTAAGTCAACCCAAATATCAGCCGAGGCACCGAATTTTACCATGAAAATCGCATTAAAAATATGCTGAAAAACTCGGCTTATACACGAGTATATACGGTATCCCAACCTAGTCCAACTCAAGCCATGGATCTGATGCTAGGGGTCTTCATCAGACTCACATAACTTCCCAGTCAATGACGCAGAAAAGTGAAGCTGGAAGCAGGGAGGTCACAGACCAGTGGGTATAGAGTCACATGGATACAAGTGGGTGGAGACATAGCATGGCACTGCCAGCTCTCCTGGTAAGTGGCCCATATGGGGTGGCCCCTGGAGGCAGACACAGAGTCCCAACAAGGATAAAGGCAAAGGCAGCAGAGAGGTTCATATCAAGGAAAGAGCAGGCAGGCTCCGAGTTTGTGTGTAAGTTGTCAGGCTGATGGTAAACTTACATAGCTACATAGTATGATATACCCTAGATCAGTAGGTCAAATCATAGCCATCTGGCTGCAGTGTGTCAGGTAAGATCGGAGACTTCTAGTGACTGCCAGGATCAGCAGGCAATGCGACAGGTTACTGGCTCAATCCAAAGAACTGGAAAGTCAATCAGATGATGAGCCAAATCACAGGCTCCACTGTACCACAAGGTGCACAGACAAGACCAGCAAACGTTCAGGATACAGTCATTGATTTCTGCAGCCAGCAGCCCAGTTTCTCCCTGGTCTCAGTCTCTCGGCTATGTGGTCCCTTGACCTTTCCTCCATGAGGTAGAAAGTCAGCCTGCCTATCACTCTTTCCCACAGTTGCTTAGGCTTGGGACAGATGTGGAGAATTTACTCCATCGTCTCGGTGCTGCTCCTCTGAGTCTCTGTGCCAGAGTCGCTAATGCATCTGGACTTGGTGGTCTCCACCACTTTACACAGAGATCTTGGGTGTGTTCTTCCAAAACGGTCCTGGAGCTTTTTCTCTTATTGAAAGGTCACACACCCAAAAAGGCATCATCAGGATGTGACCTGATTGATAAGTTGGACTCCACTCCTCCACTTGAACACAGATACAACTTTATACAAAATCTAACTGCCCAAACTTCAAGTAGGAATAAGACAGATGCCCACTCTTAAGCCTATACAATATTGTACTGGGTATTTAGCCAGGGTAATAATGGGTCGAGAAAAAGAATGGAAAACTACATGGTTTGGGACGGAAAATATGTTGTTGTAGTTGGTTAGTTAGTTGCTGTCCAGTCAATTCTGACTCATAGCAATCATATGTACAACAGAAGGATACACTGCCTGGTCCTACATCATCATCCCCATTGTTGTCACCTTTAAGCCCATCATTGTAGTCACTGTTTCAATCCATCTTGTAGAGGGCAGCTCTCCCTCTTTTTCACTGCCCCTATACACTCTCCTGATATCATTAACAAAGCACATGAGAGTAAGTCTTGCCATCCTTACCTCCAAAAAGCATTCTGGCTGTACTTCTTCCAAGGCAGAATTGTTTGTTCTCTTGACCGCCCATGGTATTTTCAACACTCTTCTCCAGCACCATTATTCAAATACATCAATTTTTCTTTGGTCTTCCCTATTGAATGTTCAGCATCCACGTACATATCAGGTGACTGAATATACCACGACTTGGGCCAGGCACTCCTTAGTCCTCAACATGATATATTTGCTTTTCAGCACTTCAAAGAAGTCTTGTGTTGCAGAGTAACCCAAAGCAATGCATCATTTGATCTTCCATGAGCATTGACTGTGGAAAGGAAAACATAAACACCTTTGATATATAAAGAAGGTTTTAATAGGTACATAAAAATGCAAAAGAGTACAGCACTAAACTGCTGTAATTAATAACAATTTTGAAGAGCCAAGGTCAATATATACAAAGATTGAAATTAAACAGCACAGCAGTGGTGAAGTATTTAATGTTACATGTTACTCTTTATTTAATATTTAATGTTAATTATTTAATATTTAATGTTACTCTTCTAGCCAAAGTCACTGTAATTTCCCCAAAAGCCACCGTTTCCTCCATGTGTCTGGGTAGGAAAGTGGGAGAAGACACAAATAGAAATCACCCGTATTAATTGTTAACAGGATTCATTGGACTGCCATCCTACAAGGTAGGAAATCAACCTTCTGAGAAGAGTGGTGGTGGTGACACAGGAGGTTTTGTGGCGGGCGGGGGGTAGGTAGGATTTTAGTACCAGGAAAAGCCTGGATTGGAGTTAGTCATGTGGCCCCTGAGAAACCTGTGTAATGAACCTCCTTGATCTAAATAAAAATCAGCTATGACATCAGAGGAGCAGCAGCAGAACCATGAATTGGAGAATGGGACACAGTGCCTTTCCAGACCATTGAGCAAGCAAAGCTGAATGCTTTCCAGTAGAAGGCTGGATTATGGAGTGGGGAGCCTCTGGACCCCAAATTGGTGGAGCTGGGCTTGGTAACACCTTGAGAAGTAGTTGAGCACCTTCTGGCTGTAGCTTACTGTGTTAGTCTGGGTGGATTAGAGAAACAAATTCATAGACACTTATTTGTGTATAAGAAAGAGTTTTGTATCAAAGAGTAATTGTATATTAAGAAAGCATCCCAGCTCAGTCCAGTTCAAGTCCGTAAGTCCAATATTAGCCCATATATTCGATACCACTCTAAAATCACCTTTTCAGACTCACGCAACACATGCAATGACACCAAAAGCAGGAAGATCACCGGCCAGTGGGTGGAAAGTCTTGTGGATCCAGTGGCAGTTGAAGCATCTCAGCACTGGCAGGGGTCTCCATGTGGCTCCTTCAGCTCCAGGGCTCTACTGTAACTCCATGTGTCTTCTCAACAAGAACATGTCACAGGGATTGTGTGTGTCCCACCTCCAGGGAGTTATTTATCTCCTCAGTGCCTCCAAATAAGGTCATCAAGCTGCGACCTGATTGACAGGCTAAACTCCACCCCTTCACTCTTAAGTCTCAAACTGACAACAGATATGTAACTACCACAGACAGTGACAGTTAAATAATCTCCTGTCAATGTACAAAGGGGTAGAGTCTAGACTGTCAATCAGACCATAGCCAATGAGGCCTCCATGTAGGCATGGTCTTCTCCTGAGGATTCTGGGAACTTCTGTACTCCTCCCTGGAGGCAGGAGACTCTCTCTGCTTTGTTTTCTGCTGACAAACCACAGGAAGCTATGCTGATTGCAGCCAGAACCCTGGATCTGGAGAAGCCACGTGGAGATGCACACTTGTGCTCAAAGGCTTCCACCACCACTGGATCCACAAGACTTTCCACCCAATGGTCTGTGATCTTGCATTCAGCATCATTGCATGACTGCATGAGTCTAAAGAGTAATTTATGGACTAGTATCAATATATGGGCTAATATCATCCTTAGGTACTTGAACTGGACTGGGCTGAGACATTGTCTTAATGTAAATTGCTCTTTGATATAAAGGCCTCTCTTATACATTTGAGTGTCTCTGGATTTGTTTCTCTAGTCTACCTGGACTAACATATTTACTGGAATGGGGTACCTCTTGGCACTTACTTCAGGGAGCTTGAACTAAATGCCTTTGACTTAAGGATTACAGTGGAATGGCATGCGTTTGGGGCATTTATTAGTAGCCTTGAAAGAACTTTGTAATATGTCCTGAATGAACAACTGTACCCTGACTATTTCTCACCTTCATTACAACCTGTTAACTTCCTTCATAAACCTTTTAATCCTGAATATTGTCTCTGAGTTCTGTGTGGCTATTGCAATGAATTGTTGAATTTAGATTTGAAAAGCAGACAGTGTGGTTGGAGATAGAACCAATAGGAAAACGATAACACGAAGAGACCAAAAAAAGACATTAAAAACTATAAACAAAAAATCTGGAAAATAATATTAAAATAAAGAAGATTTAAATATATAAAAGCATATCTATCTTGTATCTCTAGCTTAGAAAATGCAGTACAATAAAGATGATGCACCCCCAAACCAAACCCACCATGGTTGAGTCAATTATGATTCAAACTGACCTTGTAAGACAGAGTAGAACTTCCTCATGGGGCTTTCTTGGTTATAAATCTTTTCAGAAGCAAACTGCGATCTTTCTCCCTCAGAGCAATTGGTAGATTTCAACCATTGACCTTTTGATTAGCAGCCACATGCTTTAACCATTGTGCTACCAAGGTTCCTTGTAAACTTTCCCCAAATTGATATACAGATCCATTAAAATCAAAATCCCAAATGGCAGTTTTGGAGAAAGTGAACTAGTTGTTAATTATTATTATTGTTATTATTATTAACTAGAAAGCAAAAGGTCAAAACATCCAAGACAATCTTGAAGAACAAACTTTGAAAAAAAGTTACCGTTAGCTATAATAAATTAATATAGGCGGATATTTAGCCTCTCGATTTATGATAAAAGTAATACTATAATACAGTGGGAAATGATATTTTCAGTGAATAGTACTGCATCAACTGGAAATCCATATTCGTAACAGTGAATCTTGACTAGTTTACATCATACATATAAAACTCACTTCTATGTGGATTTTTTACTTTTCCACCAAGCACTTACACAGAAAAGTAGGCTTGCTTACTCACAGAGCTAAAGCCATGAGTGTTTGGACTGAGGCTTATGGGTCAGTGGAGGGCCCTTTTGCATTTGTCAGCATGGGCAGAGGACAAGGATACCATGGCTGAGAGGTCAACGATTAAAGAGAGGTGTGCCTGAGGGCAGGGCTAAGACCAAAGAATGATATCCTGAGTGTTTCTGATCTTGAATTGTAGTCTATTACTTTCCCAAGTAAAATCCATAATTGTTGAGTATTGGAGCACCAGTGGGGCAGTGGTTACCTTTTCGATGGAGACCCACATGGTGTGCAGGGTGAAACCACTTTTTCTAACCTCAGGATGACAGTCACAACATGTGCAACAGCAGCGGGATTCTTGAAGAAGAGACTGCTTTAGTCGGCTGATGCGTAGTAGGGACTCAGTGAAGAGTTATCAAGTGCATGGATCTGCTTGAGTTAATATTATTTTAAAATAGAAACATTAAATCACGCTTACTAAAATACAATTAATTTAAACATGTAGTAATTTCTGCTAAGAAAATATTTCCAACTTGTGTGTTAAAAATAAATATCAGGGTCTTACTGTGGCCAGTCATCTCATATTCAGTACCTTCTTTAATCCTGACAAAGCCCCTAAATGACAGATATTAATGTCCAAACTTTACAGATAAGGAAACGGGTTTAAAATCAAAACCAAAAAAACTCACTGCCATTGAGTCCACTTAGACTCAGGGACCCCATAGGACAGCGTAGAACTGCCCCGTTGTATTACCAAGGCTATACATCTTTATGGGAGCAGACAGCCTCACCTTTCTCCCATGCAGCATTAGGTGAGTTTAAACTGCTGTACTTGTAGTTATCAACCCATCACATGATTCACTGTGCCACCAGGGTTCCTCACTGAGGATTAGGGAGTTATAAAACATACCCAAGTCAGTTACTAAATGGTAGAAATGGAATTTAAATTCAAACAATCACTCTCCCAAGCTTAGCCTTTAAATTTTTGATTTTTAAAAACTGGATTTAATTTACTATATGTAGTTTTTGAAAGCCAGTTGGGGGGGGGGGGGGTGCAGCAGACAGACTCCTGCTTCCTAAAAGAAGATACGAGATGTAATGAAAATGCTTGTAGTGGCACATATTTTAGCCAAGATGGTGGTTTTTAATAAAACTGGGAAAGGGTGGGCTGCTTTCCCACAGAAATTGTGGAAACACAGATGCTGTCCAACCTTAGAAATGTAAAACGGCTCATGTTTTTGATCTCTGGACCAAAGGGAAAACTACAAATTCCACTGTTTGGAACATTTAACAGAAGAGATTTAAAGGAAGCCATTATTATAATCATGGTACCCACCAGCTCTCTGAGAATCCAAGCTCTGTCAACATTTCCTTTATAAATCCACTTTCAGGACTTTCTAACTCATCCAGGATTGTTCAACCAGGGCTTAAAAATCTGAAATGTAAGATGTTAAATTGTGAGTGATGTTATTCCAAGAATTAAGGAGGGAAATGAATATCATGTGATACAAGCACAATAGCAAAATGCTTGGCTAAGGCAGCACTGTAACAGGTATTAATGGTCTCTTACTTTGTTTTGATTGCTTTGGAGAAAGGTTTACAAAAGAGGGAGTGGAAGGGAAGCTGACTTGAAATGGAGATCTGTCTTGTCAACTAACCATAAGTAAAAATTTTAAGTTTAGTATGTAATATACAGCTTGATAAACTCTAGAAACCTAGATGCCTCCACTTTCTAAATCTGCACAAAGGCTTGGAAATCTCATAAAGAGAGATTAGTTTTAAGAACCCTGGCACTTTGTTTTTAGTCTAAACCATAAAAAGCTGAAAGAACAGAATTTCTAATCCTGCCCAGTACATTCCAGCTAAATGGAAGCAAGAAGACACGGAATAAAAAGAGTTATTCAGTCATTTCAAAGCTTCAACAAATAATTGAGTGAAATTCCTTTCTCGATAAAGGTGAAAGTCGAAAGACTCTAGTCTGAAACATTCTTCTCCTATCTCTATCCTCTATTTATTAACTTTGCCTGTTTGTTTGTTTGTTTTCCACTTTCTTTATTGAGCTAAATGGTCTTAATGTGAAAAGAAAAGGTTAAAAAAAGATAAATATAGTAAATCTTTCCTTATGAAGGCAAGTGTAATACATTAATTAGAGTTTGTAAGTTCACACCAAATGTCTTAATGAGAAGAGAAAATTGCATCTATGCCATCCATGATGGCCAGTCCACACAGTCACACAATATGGAAAAGATAAAGACAGATTCATTTGGGCCTTCATTAACGCTGGGAAATAACACAATGAATTGACAAGGGACACACCATTTCCTTGGAACCAGAGATATGTCTCCTTAGCTGGCTTCTTATACTAATCGATAGATTTATTAGATCGAAATAAGGATAAAATCTACATGCAGTCCCAGCTTTAAACTCCTTTGGACTCCTAAATATTGAAAAAAAAAAAAGGAGGTTTATCATGAGAGTGAAAAATAATTTAGATTTATTTTCAAGAGTTGTGAGACTAGTTGACCCAAGCCAGAATTGCTGGCTTGAGGTTTATTTAACACAGTAGATGTATTCATCAAACATTCACTAAATGAGTGAAGCCTTATAGCAAAGATACATTCTAAATAAACAATATCTAAGGGAGGCCTTGAAACTGTAAAAAGTATGGTTCTTCCCATTATTATGCTTTCCATTTTAGCAATCACATTATTTTCTTTTGCACATTTTTGGACAGCATGTAAAGTTCAAGATTAGATTTTTAAATTATATTAAAGTTATTCGTGTACCAGCATGCTCTACATATGGCTGGTTTCATCCTATCAGGAGGAACTCTGCTAAAATTCTGAAATTAGAACGTTTATTGTAAGTAAAAAGCCAAAATTTCAGACACTCAACCAAGGTTGATCCAAACTTCTTGGGTTGGAAATATCACAAAAGCAGACTTTTCCAGGAAATGGTCTGCGTTTCCTGTTTTGAGCTAAGCTGGAAACCCAACAGGGACAATACTTCTCATGGCATGTCATTGCTCCTACTTTTGGTCTGAAAACACCAAACAGAGACTAACAGTGTGACAAATCAAAAGAATAAAAAAGTTGAGTGGTGAGGTGTTCTGGGCTAAGAAAGGGATCGTTAATGGGAACAGATTTCCTAACTTGACCACCAGTTAACCATAGCTTGGACACCCAGGGTGCTGAGTCATTAGCCCTTGCTCCAAAATAACACTACCACATCTTGGACTGGATCGTTATGGGAGCATATTGTCAAGAATGTTCTCAGGCCGATGGGTGGAGAAGAGTAAAGAGAAACACATCTTCAATAGATAAAGTGGTACTCATGCAAATTCTTTCAAACAAAATAATCTGGAAATGAATTAGCACAAGCAACTTGCTAGACAGTCGGATAATGGTATTTACCACATCCATTTAGAAATCTTAGAGAAAAATCACAGTTCCCATCCACACGGTTGATAGCAGCTCTTCCCAGGAAGGGAGCATGTGGAAGAAACACACACACTGAATTTTCAAAAGAAAAGTCCCAAAACTTTCTATGGATTGTGAATATGGAGTATTATTTTGTTCATTTTCCATAGTGCTCTTTAAGGTCTTGGATCCTCATTTAATTGCTTAAAATCTGTTAAGAATCTTGATGCTTCTTTATAACCTAACTGATAAACTCAAAGCACTGATAATTGAGCAGTTAGCCAATATGTATGTAGGATCTGTATAACATTAGTTGTACATGCTCAACTAAGAAATGAGCCCCACTGGCATTGTGAGGTAAGTGGACAACTAGCTGCAAGGTGAGTGGTTCAAACCACCAATCATTCTATGAGAGAGAGATGAGGCTGTCTGCACCCTGGAAGATTTACAAAACCTCAGAAACTCTTTGCAGGGTCACTGACGTCAGAATCAACTGGAGGAAGGGTCATTTAACAGTGCAATCTGTAAGTGTCCTACTGAGATAATGGAAATACCCTATTTTATAACCTGGAACTATCACTTGGCATCTTACAAATAGTCCCAAAGAAACAGCTCAAGGGTTTTGGATTTTCAGCCAAGATGGGAGAGCCTTAATATTGATCTTAGCTTATAAAGAAAACTTGTGAGCCTCTGCAAAGAGCGAAAACTGAGAGTGCAATCAAAGAGCAGGGCAGAGACACAGGGCGAGGTGTTGCATTCTATCATTCTCCCTGCAGAAGTCTGGCCGGGCCAGAGCAAGCCCAGCAGACTGGTGGCCAGGCCGGGGTTCTGAGACAGCGGGCTTGGTGGTGCCCACACTCCACCCCCAGAACCAGCTTTAGAGCAACTTTTCTACCAAGATCAGAGTTTGAAGCCAAGGAAGACAAGAGTCAGTAAATTATAGAACAGAGAGTAACGCTAAAACCAGAGGCAGAAAAATAATCAAAGGGCCTACACCTTTGAAGAGAATGGCGAAAATACCGACTTCTGGCAAGGGGCTTAAATGAAGACCTTCCCAATATGTGGCATCAAAATCCATCATGGGTTGTGTTGTTTTGATTTCTGTCTCTTTTTTGTTCTTTTGTTTTGTGTTTTGCAATCTTTGGTTTACCACCGTGTCTGCCTCTTTCCTTTGTCTACACCCTTGATGCATTTTTATATTTCTGTTACTTATGTAGCCCCAGGAGTTTGTACTCCAGGTCTGAGTCATACTTCACACGGAAGCCAAGTAGGCAAATGCATGTATAAAACTCCCAACTTGTGGCCATTGATTCACTGCTGACTCACAGTGACCCCCTGTGTGTAGGCCATTGTCAGACTGTAAAATGGCCATGAGGTTCGTGGTGTGATCACAGCCAGTGGATGGTAAATCTTGAAATAGCCTTGCCAGCCTTTCCTCTAGAAGGCAGACTCTGTATGTTGGTTTATTAAGCTTGGGCTCCATGACAAAAAGGATGTTTAACTTCTTGAAGAAAGCCTGCCTCACTAAGGTAATCATGGCAGAGGAAATTCAGACTACATAGAAGCAAAATAAATGCATAGAGTGGGTGTCTTAATTAAAAAACAAGACAATAAAATCTTTATATTGAGTTATTTGTAGAAGGTAAAGATGACCAGGTTTTAGTCATTTCTTATTTTCGAACATCTAAAAGTGTTTTTGCTATTGTTGTTAGTTGCTCTCAAGTCAGTGCTTATCCACAATGGAATAAAACACTGCCCAGTCCTCTGCCCCCTTCACATTCATTCCTGTGCTTGAGCCCGTTGTGCCAGCCACTGCGTTAGTCCGTCTCTTTAAGGGACTTTCTCTAAGCATAGTGCCTGGCAACGGTAGACATTCTATAAATATTCATGGCACTGAACTGAACGTTGTCGCATCACATCACATCGTTGGTCCCCTTTCATCTGGTTAATAGCTGCTCTAACCTCAACTGAGCCATCACTTCCACAGAAAGACCCTTCCGTATCACCTCGATCTCAACTCAAGCATCTCGAATGGTCACATTATCTATTCCACTTCAAGGCATGTATCAAAGCTACACTTTTATTCTTTAATAGACGCAACACAAAAAGTAATAATTTTCCAAAGAGCAAGAACTTTGTCTATTAGTTTTGTAATCACTCAATACATGTGGCTGGTACTCAGTCAATACTGTTAAGGTAGTGAAACAAGCACCCATATCCTGCATGGTTTCCTAACATTCTAATAATATTCTCAAGATATCAGGTAGCATGACAAATCATCCAGCACACAGTCACACAATAGTCCAAGTGGAGAAAGCAAGTTTGTGATGTAGACCATCCCGTTGGAAAGAACTTTTAATAAGTAAACAGAAGGATGCAAATAGCATCTGCTAGGTCTGAAGATGATTTATGTCCTGGAGTCTACACCAGAGAGAGATTGCTGAAGAATCATTTACCCTTCAATAAGCATCTTGGCTTCTTTATGCACAGTCCGTTAAGTTTAAATATTAACAATAAAAAACTATCAAATATCAACAGTTTCATATGGTTCAATATTTTAGTCACAAACAATTTTTCTATGACATTGTTGTCTCTATCTGAGGGATAAGAAAATGCTCAGGTATAAAATAACAAAATTTGAAGAATTTCTAAGTAGTGAATAAAGAGGTTGTTTTCTAGTCCACACACATACACACAAAAAAATACAAGTTGAACCTTAGTTGTAACATTAATCTCATACCAGATTACTTTTACAAACCAATATTTCTAATTATCCCAATTAATAACTTAATAAATAACATTCCAAAAGAATGGCTAGAACAAAAACAACAACAAAGTGTCCAAGAGCACTGTTTGCTCCATCAATGTGAAAATAATTTAGGAAGCAACTGCTCCATGTCAGGAAACAGCATGAGCACAGACAATGTCAACAGTGGAAGACTCCTTACACCCTATATCACAACTCAGCCTTCCATCCATTCTCCAGTAGAAATTTGGTTTCAGGCTTCATTATATGCTAGATGTCCTTTTTTCCCAGATAGGGTGTGTTAGTCTGGTTTGACTACAGAAACAAATCCAGAGACACTCATAGTGTATAAAAAAGAGTTTTTTATAAAAAGAGCAATTGTCTATTAAGAAAGCACTCCAGCCCAGTGCAGAAAAGCCCGTAAGTCCAATATTAGCCCATATGTTCGATACTAGTCCATAAATTCCTTTTCAGACTCACACAACACATGCAATAATGCCGAATGCAGGAAAATCACAGGCCAGTGGGTGCAAAGTCTTGCGGGTACAATGGCTGTGGAAGCATCTCAGCACTGGCATGGGGCTCCATGGGGCTCCTTCACCTACTAGGTCCTGGCTCCATCAGTGTAGCTCCATGTGGATTGTCAACAGGAATGTCTCACAGGGAGAGAGTATATATGACCTCCAATGAACTATTTATCTC